TTTATAAGATAAAAACTAGGGCCATAGTGGATTTGCTAGAGTCGTCTGTCATAGTCCAACGAAATGCAAAACCATTTTAGGAGGATGATTTGAAAGTCTAACATAATGTGATTTAGGTAAATGATGAAGAACGAGTTATTGATTGATTCAAATGGATTATTTATAAATATAGAAGGAGCTAAAGTTAATGAAATTGGAGTAAACTCGAAGAGAAAGACTTAGATTGTAATTATGACGGTAGTAATTAAAGATCTTTTTTATTTATTGTATTCTATAAACTAAGGTGGAATAAATATTTTTTATTTGTTACATTTATTAAATCAAAGTAATAGAGATATTTTTTATTTATTATGTTTATTAAATTATATCATTTGACGCTATATAGGCAATGACTCGTGTGTTGTGCATTTTGGATGTGTTATTTTTTATGTTGATTGAGTTTTAGATAATTAGAAAATATTCAATTTACAGGAGAGACTCGTTAAAATTTTGTTTGACTTGTAGGAAAAAATTTATTGAATACGAGGTAATTAAGTTGGTTTTTATTTGTTGTATTAATTAAACTAAATGATGTGATATTATAGGCATAATGACTTGTGGTTTGGGTCGTTGTCACCCGACATCTAATTTAATGAGATCCGATATTCGTGGTTGTGGTCGTAGTAATGCTTCTAACCTTGACATGTTTCCAACATTTCTATATCGCTAGTAGTAGTACCCTCGTTGACCCTACTTGCTCCCTAACCTAGTCCTCCATGAAATGGTCCTACACTAGAACCAAGCTCGATAACGGATGTCACATCGATAGTTTCTTTTATTCCCGATGACACTTCTAGGTTTGATACTAAACGAGATCATTTTTGTTGTTAATAACAAGTATGTAATATACCTGCAGATTGAAATAGAATTATTTTGTTTTGTATGTGATAATTATTTTTATATTTTGATATATTATTAGAATTATTTATTCACTTATTGATTTTTTATTTGTTACGTTCGATAGTTTGTATTCATCTATTAAGTGTTCTCACCGGATCATCGTAATTTTTAAAGAACGATTGAAGTCCGTCGACTTCACGTGAAATTCAATCTCGCTAGAAACAAAAACATTCTACTAAAATGAGTTTAAAGTAATATTTTATTTATTTATTTATATTATATTTAAATTAGTAACATGAAACATACGAATATTAATTTTTAATTTCTTGTAAAAGTATTTTTTATGGAAGGAAGACGTCACTTCGATGGTTAAGACGACATGAGAGAGTTTGGCATGTAAACGGTATACCGATATGTTGACCGACTGCAAGAAAACGACCAATAAACACCATTTTGTCTTAGCACCGATGTGGGATAGATGGTAGTGAGATTGGAACACACTTGAGTTTTGGACCTATTCCGAACAGGCGGCACATAATCACATAAGTGAGACAAGCGATGCTGGTGTTGGGCAATCTAGACTTACCGAAGCTCCATCTCACTAATTGAGCATGTTGAACGGATGGTAAATCTTATTATCCATTATGTTATAAATTAATATTTGAATTTATTGTATCTCATAGTATTTATGTCTACTTTATTCGAGGCTAAGGAATTGGTTCGTGACTTAGATTCTTACGAGTTGTTTGTGAAGGCTTATAAGCATTAGGATGGATCATTCGTGGATACGTGGTTTCAAGTAGTTAGGGTAAAAATTTTATTATTTTTATTATACATTTGCAAATTTAATCAAAAAATTATATTTATGATTTAATATTATAATTTTTATGATTTAATATTATAATTTTTTCGATTGCGTAGGAGTGTGTAGACCAATTTTATGCATCAGCTGCTAGCTAGTAACCAAAGGGTGATTCATTGTCTTTAGACATCGGCATATCACTAATATATCTCCAAGCTATAGGAGGGGAGAAGAAGCAAAGATTGTATGACCTCATATCACATGCGTCCTCGTATTACTCACATTTTAGTACTAGCTCATCCTTTTCCACATCATGTTTCCCCGGTTGTATGCAACAAGATCATAAGAGTGGCAAGAAAAGCTAGAGGACATATAACGTGACTATACTTAACGAGTTCCATGAGGTGGATAACAAATACAAGATGGAAGACTAGTTTATTTAGCATCGGATACGGATGAAGGAGAAATTGTTAAAAGAATCACTCGGGAGTCAAACCCTTCCTTCTAATCCTTTCCCTTTACCTAGGAGTCGGCCTTTCCTCTCGATACCTAGCATTTGAAAGACGATGCAACAAATGATCTTGATGAGGACTAATTTTCTTTAAAATTATTCTTTTAAATATGTTCGTATACCATATTTTATATATTAGATTTGATTTTATATTCATTTAATTTTATTTAATAATATTTCATGTTATAGTTCTAATTTTAGTTGTTGGTTACTACAATAGGACATTTAAACACCTATTAACGAAAATTAAAAAAAAAATTCTTCATTTAGCAATAGATGAATGAGCGCCCAATGACAAAAAAAATTTAAAAGCAATGGAAAACAAATCGCTAAAAATAACGACTAATACCGAGTGATGGATCGACGACCGAAATTAGTGACAAACTTTAGCAATAGATTTCCATCTTTATATATTGACGGGAATAAAGCTAATTACCGACGTTTTAGCAACGGATTTCACACCAAATATACGATTGTTTACAATGACATAGCAATGGAAAAACTTCGAAATAATGACAATATTTCTATTGCTAATTAGCAACGAAATTTCTAATCCAAGCACTAGCGACGATTTGTTTCTATCGCTAAACCAATACAACGACATAAATTTTTGGTTTAGTGAGAGAAATTTTCATCAATATTTTGCTTTTTTGTTTTTCTTATAGTGAAAGGGCTAAAGGAATGGGTCATAATTATTACAAAGAGCTCGCATGGCCAACTCGATCTTTTATATATTTTTTCAATAGTAATTCTAGATACTATTGCATGTAATGTAGGATTAGTCGTTTTAGAACCATGAATGATTGGTGGACCTACGGATCCATTTGCAACTTTTTTGGACATGAATGATTTTTTTTTCATATTTCAAATACTTTGTACCATACCCAATAAGTTACTTGGATGTTCTTTTAATGGTATTCGTACCTATAAAATTGTTAAAAGTCCCATTTTTGGATAATGTTAGGCTATGTCTGTTTGGAGGAAAATAAGTTCTTGGAACTCGTTTTTCTCATTTTCTAGTGTTTATTTTACGTTTAGAAAAAAAATTCAACAAAAAATGATAGAATACTTATAAGAAAATGTTTTCCTAGTTAAAAAATAGAAAACATTTTCCTTCTCATGAGTTGTCTCGCTTTCGTGTTACTTACCTCTCTCTCGGTATATTTTAACAATTTTTTTCTCTATCTTTTTTATTTAAAATATATCAAATTAATTTTTAATTATTCCTTATCAATTATTATTAATTATTTAATTATTTTTTCTCTATTTTTACTAATATTTGATTTTTTGATTTATAGATACATTAAATATCATTAAAAATCATTTTTACACCTTAAAATTATTTTTATAATAAATAATTCAATAATTTATCTCTATTTTTTACTATTATCTCAAACACCACCTAAACTATATTTAAATGATTGAAAATGATTATTTCAATACTATAATTTTTTGTAAAAAATTTGAAATTAATTAATTCATTAATAAATATATTATTTTTTTGACACTATTCAATTGCAACTAAATCAATAATTTTTAATTTTAATCAGTTGTAAAACTTTATTGGTAATTTTAGTCAATAATTAGTTACAAATTATTCCAACATTACTCTTTTGAAACCAAATGAATAATTATCTACAAATGATAACTAATAATTTATAAAACTATTTTTTAGACTAAATTATCAATTCAATCTTTTTTTTTAAAAAAAGAATTCTTAATTAAGTTACCAAAATAACAATGCTAAGATTGCTTAAATTTTTTTTTTAACTAAATGTGAATATTGACTTGATTTTGTTTCAAATAATTTTGATGAATTGGTTTAATGGTTAAAAAGTACATTTTAGTTTTTGAATTAAAATTTTAGAGTTAGTATTTATGAAAATTTATTAAATTTTTCTAAATATATCTTATATTGTGAAATTGTGAACATTTCTTTTTGAAGTTTTCTTAAAAATTGTTGATATAACAATCACATATTGTTTTTGTATTTTAATTTTCCGTATCAAACAAACGCTGAAATATATTTTCCAAGTAGTTTTTTATGTAGTTGTCAAACGGCAAAAAATATTTTGTTATAAAATAATTTTATGAAAAATAGCTTCTTTAGGAATTAATTTTCCTATGAAAGTTGTTTTTCACTAAACAAACGGAGCCTTAATAAATTTCAAAATCCATTTCGTCTTCTCGTAACTATGCTTTTTTTTTTTTTTATCACCTGGGTTCCATATATATATATATATATATCTTCTACTGTCGATAAAAAGTAATAAATATTTTCACCGGTTTTAAAAGACGAAATTAATCTTATTGTGCTGAAACTGACTGGAGAATGTTATACATAGTAAGAGAGATTATTAGTTATTCTCAAATTTATTATACTGAGAGGGAGCAGATAAGCAACACAACGCCAATTTTTCACTCTTCTGAAACCAAACCAACCCAAACACGGCAAATTAGGTTTATATTTCAAAGCCCAAATTCTTCTAAAACCAAACCAGCCCAAGCAAGCAAATTAGGTTTAAATTTCAAAGCCTGAATTTGACTTCGTGGACTTGATGAAAATGGGCCATAAAATATATAGGTAGTGGATTCATTTTATGGGTTAGTAGAAATTGAAGCCCTAAAATTTTCACAAGCAAGGGGGAGGAGGGAAATAAAAATCCACCAGGTTTTTTCTATCCCCAAAGCCTCTGACTGCTTTCGGCTCTGAAAAAAAAAAAAAAAAAGGGGCAAAAAACCATGGCGCGTCTTCTTCTTAAACCTCACTCCAGCAGTAGACGCTATCTGTCTTTACTTCGAGCTACCATGTCCTCTTCTTTTTCTTCTCCTTTTACTTGCTCTCAGTCTTTATCTTCTCTCACCCGCCCCTTAATCTCCTTCAAGCCAAGGTATTTTCTTTGCTTTATTATTCTCGTTTTACTGTTTAGTTTCTGTTTGTTTCCTTAGAAAACGCGAGAAAAATGAAGTGACATTTGCATTTTTGGTGCTTTTGAGTTCGTTTATTGGTGGAAAGATGGGAAGTAAAGGAGAGAAAATTTATGGGTTTTTGTTATAAATTAATGTAAGTTAAGAAATTTTAATTTTTTGTTATTGTGAAAGCACGGGTTTTGGTTTTTCTAGGGTCTTAGAAATCGGAACTTTAAGATTTTTAATTATTTATTTGTTTGTTTTTGTGTAATTACAGGGTGAGTTTTCCAGTGAGGAGGGTTGCAAGTAGATTTTTGGTGCAAAATGGGGTTTCGCCAAGAGCTTTCATGTCAACTAGTGTAGCAACTGAATCACAACAAGAAAGCGCGAGCTCGAAAGCTTACGGGTCTGATCAAATTCAGGTAAAAATTTACATTAGCACACGTCATTATTTAGTAATTTGTAAGTAATGTATGCTTTGTAATAATGAGGGTTTTGATAAGTGCTGTTTTGATTTGTCTAGGTGTTGAAAGGATTAGAACCTGTGAGGAAAAGGCCAGGGATGTACATTGGAAGCACAGGACCCCGTGGTTTGCATCATTTGGTAATTTATATTGTTACCTTTCTTTTGTCATTGTGGATTCTAGGTTCTATTTTGCTCAGTTTATCTTAGGTAAATTGGAAACAAGATTTATTTATTTATTTTGTTGATTTGTTGTGGTTCTTTTTTAATAGGTTTATGAAATATTGGACAATGCTATTGATGAGGCCCAAGCAGGATACGCTTCAAAGATAACGGTTGTTCTGCACACAGATAATTCTGTCAGTATTACTGACAATGGGCGTGGGGTATGAGAATTTTTTTGTTATTTTAGTTATTGTCATTAACTTGTATTATGGAAGTACGTATTCTGGAATGAGGCGTGGCTTTTTTTTTTTTTTTTTTTTTTACTCTAAACTTCCAACATTCTTTACTTTGTCAGTATATGCATTTGACCTTCCCATTGTTATTCCTGCTGCTATATGCAATCCATTCCAGGGCTTGTGTGGGTCTGAGAGAATATTAGTTTGGAGAATATAGTTAGTTCATGCTTTTATGTGCAACTGTAAACGATTTGATGCACTCTTTAGAATATAGTTTAGAGTGTGCCTTTTGAGTTGAAACCTTTACAAGTGAAGTGTAATAAATCATTATGTTATTTTTCTTTTCATTTTTTATGGAACTAAATGCCACATGATTATGAGACAACAAGTTATTCCAAACTGTTTTTTTTTCCCCCTCAATGGTCCTGTATGCACTTTTGAAATTGAGTTCCAGTGCTTACTGTTTTCCCTTGACGATTACCTATTCGTCAACAACAAGAATTTTCTTTTGATGATTACCTTAGAGTGTTTGGTCATTTATGCCAGCTTTCATTGTGTATTTACTGCTACTTCAACTTGCTTCTCTGTTTTACTTGTATTGCAGATTCCTACTGACTTGCATCCAGTGACAAAGAAATCTGCCTTGGAGACTGTCTTAACGGTAAATGCATGGCCAACTGGCCATCTTAGAATATGACTATTTCTATCCATCATATTTAAGGGTCTTAAGGTGCTTGATGGAAGCATGATATTTGGAATGTGCAGAGTTTTTTTAAAAATCTTAGTTTAAACTTTCAATTAAATGTTAATGTAGTTTATTCAAACTGTTATTGCATTTTTTTAATCTTTTTTCTTCCTCTTATTAGCATGTAGATTATGGTTCAAAAGTACTCTTCTTTTATATTTTGCAGGTCTTACATGCTGGTGGCAAATTTGGTGGTTCTAACAGTGGATACAGTGTCTCTGGTGGGCTACATGGTGTGGGTTTATCTGTTGTCAATGCTTTGTCTGAGGTATTTAATCTATTATATTTTGAACTTTTTTAGTTATTTTTCTGTCAATAAATAATTTTTTGGATTTTGGATTCTTTCTGAACTACATTTTAAATTTTGATGCCCTTGACTTGTTCTGTTTTCCTTGACATTACTTTACTTCTAGAGGCACATTTTAACCTACGGCCCCATGTGATTGATTAGTTTAAGAATGAATGGCTGTATCCAGAATATTTCAAATTAGAGGCAATGTCCAAGGGCAATTCCTTTGTCTGGAATTGAAATTTCTTTATTTATGACTTTTTGATTAGTTTTTTGTGAGCTTTTCACTGGCCATTCTTGCTTTGTCTTTCTTTTAATGTTTACTTCTTGGCTACCAATTACCTCGATGTAGAAAATGTTGATATTTGTAAAATTTGTCATATCTTAAATTGCAGGAACTAGAAGTTACAGTTTGGCGTGATGGAAAGGAATACCAACAGAAATATTCTCGTGGAAACCCTGTGACAACTCTAGTATTTTCTGAACTTCCGGTAGAATCAAAAGATCATAAAGGGACTCGCATCAGATTTTGGCCTGACAAAGAAGGTTTTTGTTGATTTTGAAAACCCATCTAATTTTAATGGTTGTTATTTTATGCTTCAACTCAATGTTAGTTTACAATATGGGATAGAATAGTGTTGCCTCTTCATAATGTAATGCTTCAGGGACCTTTAGAGGAGTTTCTGGTGTTCAACAGTATTTTGTGCCTCATTATCCAGCTCTCAATGTTAGTTTGCAATATAGGATAGAATAGTATTGCCTCTTCATAATGTAATGCGTCAGGGACCTTTAGAGGAGTTTCTGGTGATCAACAAGATTGGGCTGCACTTCTCCCTTCAGCTTTTTTGCTTATTTTTTCTTTCTTTCTTTCTTTTTTTTTTTCCTGACAGTGAATGTCATATTTGTAGACTCCTTTATGTACTTCTCTTCTTAATGCAGCATTCGTCTTTTATTGGAAAAAAAATTCTGGCAATCTCTATTTTTCTTTTTTGACTTCTTTTTTTTTTTTTTTTTTTTTTTTTTTTTTGCAGTATTCACCACTGAGATTCAGTTTGACTACAACACAATTGTTGGACGGGTTAGGGAGCTTGCATTTTTAAACCCAAAGGTAGAACTGTTACTTTTAATTGTGTCAACCTTGATCCTATTGATCCCCTCTTTTTCATCATAAATCGATTTTCTACTTGTGGAATAATTGAATGATTACTTTAATCCTTTTTGCTTTTCATCACAAATGGGTTTATTACTTGGGAATAAGTGATCTTGGCTATCTATTTTCTTCATGTGGTTGGATGGTTTTGCAATTTGATGCAATGCTTACTTTTTCATTAATTGGTAATGCTGCCTCTTCTTGATTTGCCTTTGCAGCTTACTATTTCTTTGAAAAAAGAGGATAATGATCCAGAGAAGAATCAGTATGATGAACATTTCTATGCAGGTGGATTGGTTGAATATGTGAATTGGCTAAATACTGATAAGGTATTATTTTTCTTGAGCAACTCTCCTTGGCTGTTATTGTAATGCCTAAAACCTTTGTTCCGTTATATTCTCTCGCTTGGCAAGTTAGCAAACTCTCAGCCTTCTTTAAATTATGGTGGGATAAAGATGATACTTAGTTTCTAATGGTTGATTTGTCTTTGCTGATGAAATAAGATAATGGAGGACTAAAGAAAATTATTAAGGGGAATGCAAAACAAAAAAAAAGACTGACTTTTTTGGCCAATGAAGAGGCATGCTCCATCTGTCTTGTCCATTGTAAATGGTTATGGTTGGTGAAATTCTCATAAATAACAGATTTATGATTGGTGACGTCGATGACCATGTCAATGGTAGAGAAACCACATCTATCCTTATATTTCTTGATACATAAACATACTTAGATGCCTTGTAGGTTGAGACATTTGATGCAGGCTTTTTTGATAAATCACGAGTGGTGTGGAGTCCAAGATGGGACTTCCTTTTGATGCATTTCATTGGTTTAGGAGGGGTAGACCCTATCGATTTGAGATGTGTTGTTATGATCCATATGTGAGTGACAATAATCTGCCTTTGGGTCTGGTCTTTTTACGTTGCAACACGTTGAGGGACTAGGCATCCTAATAATATCTGGGATTTAGACCGCTTCAAAAAACCATTTCTGACTTGGATTTGGCTACCTTATTTGGATATGTCTATTTGTTGTATGGAATGTTGACTGATGGTTATTTGATTCAGAAACCGCTTCATGACATTGTGGGTTTCAGAAAAGAAGTAGATGGAATTGCAGTTGATATGGCTCTCCAGTGGTAAACTACTATCTACAAGTGCATATGCTTCTTCTCAATATTGTTTTCCTTTCCGTATGCATCAAGAATGCTTATGTTTTTTGTCTCAAATTGTTATATGGAATACCATATTTCTACATATTGTTGACAGCCATTCCTTCAGCAACCTATGTGTTTTGACCTTTCTCGTTTCTTTACTAGGTGTTCTGATGCTTACTCAGATACAATCCTGGGATATGCTAATAGCGTACGTACTGTTGATGGTGGAACGCATATGGATGGTGTAAAGGCTTCATTAACAAGAACTCTCAATAACCTAGGGAAAAAGTCAAAGGCCATTAAGGTACGTCCCATATTGCATGTTGGGCACTGTTGAATCTCAGCATCCATTCTCTTGATTATTTTGGTACCTTCGCTCAATATCTTTGATGTTTTCCCTTCCATACCTCGCACGCCTCGCTGTTCTTTTACAGCTGCCCCCTCAGAATTTTATACTCTGCCCTGGCCTTCTCTTATAACAGAAAGTTCCAAATGCAAAGTTATCATATTACAATTAGAAGATAGAGCACAGACCGGGTTTATTTGGCATAAGATTCTTTCAAAACATGGTATTGGGGTATGGAGATCAGTTCATATTTGATGTAGTTCAATTGATTGAAGATGGAAATCTATGTCGTTATTGATAGGGTGAACTGCGGATTAAAGTAGTTGTATTCACTCTGATAAAGCAATTTTCTGTTTGCTTGCAGGATAAGGATATTAGTTTAAGTGGTGAACATGTAAGGGAGGGATTGACATGCATTATATCAGTCAAAGTTCCCAGCCCAGAGTTTGAAGGTCAAACAAAGGTATGTCCATCTATCATAATCTTCTTGAGATACTGATGATTTGTCCAGCTTATTGTTAGTGTTGCTGCTCCCCCTTAAGTTGCTTATATAGTCCATTGCTGGTTTTCTGTATCTCTGAAAGACAAGGTTGGGAAATCCAGAGGTGCGGAAAGTGGTAGAGCAATCTGTTCAGGAGTATCTTACTGAATATTTGGAGTTGCATCCTGACGTTCTTGATTCAATCCTATCAAAGTCTCTAAATGCCCTTAAGGTATTTTTGTTGTTAGCACTCTTTTTTCTTCATTATCTTTTGATTCAATCTTCTTTCTGTAAAAGAAGTATTTTATACGAACTCTCAGATATCGCATTTCTGTTGGTCTTAAACCTTGAAATGTTCAGTCTTTTTGCGTTACAGGCAGCTTTGGCAGCAAAGAGGGCAAGGGAATTGGTGAGACAAAAAAGTGTGTTGAAATCATCATCTCTTCCAGGAAAACTGGCTGATTGCTCTTCTACAGATCCTGAAGAATCTGGTAGCTGTTCTATTTCTTTTTTTATTTTCTTTTTGTTCTTTTAATATGAAACCCGTTTGACCTTCTTGAAATTTTAGAAATTCTATAATAATGATCATTGGTTTAATGGCAAATTTTGCTCTTATTCTATTGCGATTTGGCAATTTCAGACTCAATAGTATCAAGTCGCGTAATTTGAACCTTAAAGTATTAGAGATTGGGTAAATGTGATTCAAATTGCTCAATCTCTGTTATAAGATGACTATTACTTGGAATGCCAAAACGATTAATTATATTTTTTTAAAAAAAACATTTTAAAAATATTTTTAACCCTCTAATCTTGAACCTTTTTTTTTAAAAAAAAAAACTTTTTTCTTGTACAATATTGTAAATATTTTATAATATTTTTAACTCCTCTAGTTTTGAACTTTTTTTTATAAAATGTTATAAACATTTTATAAATTTTTTTTTTTATATAATTTATAAAATCAGGGGGGTCAATTGTTAATGATGCTCATTTTAATTTATAAAATGTTTTTTTAATCCTAAAATTGTGTATTATTAATTATTATTATTTTTTTACATTAACATTTTATAATTTTTTTTTAAAGTTCAAAATTAGGGAGTTAAAAACATTTGTAAAATGTTTTTTATATAATTTATAAAATATTTATGGGAAAAAAAACTTAAAGATTAGGGGGTTAAAAATATTTTTAAAATGTTTTTTTTTTTAAAACATAATTAACTACGACATTCCAAGTAACGGTTAATCTAGTTGATTGTTACACATAACAGAGATTGGGCAATTTAGATCGCACCAATCTCCAATACTTTGGGGTTCAAATTACGCAATTTAGTATTATGGGTCTAAAATTGCCAAATCACAATAAAATGGTGGCAAAATTTGCCATTAAACCAATGATCATTCATCTTTTGTTTTTTCACACCATTTGATTGTTCTTCCCTTTGTTCAATCATGTGGACAGCTTTTAGTTTCTAAATGATCATTTAGCATCCACTTCAACAAGATGTAGACATTTTTGTTGGTTTATCTGCTTAGCATGACCAATTAGCTATGTAGGCAAATGATAAACCAAGTTTTGTGTTGAGTTTGGATGGACTTTCAGAAAATAAGAATTAAAGTCTGCTGGTCTCATTGGTCTTTTGAGCATGTAATTTAATTTGTCTTTTGATGGTTGCAGAAATTTTTATAGTTGAAGGAGATTCAGCAGGAGGGAGTGCCAAACAAGGCCGTGATCGACGCTTTCAGGTAATTTCGCTGAATGTGCAGATTAACCATTAATCTGCAGGCAATTGCTGATTCATGTTTAATAAATAGTAACAACTGGGATAGCTCATTCAGTTTTCATGGGAATGAGCTTGTATTAACTACCATGCCTCAATTCTCAGACCAGTTTTATCATCCCAAGTGAGTTCAAATTCATTTGGGATAGTGGTGCTGGTGTTTCTGATTGTACCGTATCTTACCTCCACTCTAGAATAACTTGGGATGGCTATAGAATATTGATTGCCGAAACATATTACTGCAGGCCATTCTCCCTTTGAGGGGTAAAATTTTGAATATAGAAAGAAGAGATGAGGCGGCAATGTACAAGAATGAAGAGATCCAAAATCTTATACTTGCCCTTGGACTTGGAGTAAAGGTAAACTCCTTGTCTCATTGTCTCACCTTTTTCTCTTTTGCTTGTCACTTTTTGGTTTTCTCATCTGAACTGGTTCTTATTTCATGTGTCAAATCTTCTTGGCTACAGGGAGAGGATTTTAAAAAGGATGCTCTACGTTATCATAAGATCATCATCTTAACAGATGCTGATGTGGACGGTGCTCATATCCGAACACTTCTGCTGACTTTCTTCTTTAGATATCAGGTAGATAATGGAGAAATTTGTTCCAACAAACATTTGCTCTTAAAGTAAATAAATGAGAGAGGGATAAACAACTTTAAATGCCTTAAAAAATTTGCAAGAGAGATTTACAAATATGGAATTGTTCTTCTGTGCAGAGAGCTTTATTTGATGAAGGCTGCATTTATGTTGGTGTGCCTCCCCTCTATAAGGTGTGTTTGGCTATATTATGGATCCCTGTGGCCAGGAGAGGTTTTTTTGAATTATAATGGATCGTCTAATTTGTTTCTTTTGTTTTCCAAACTGACATGGCCAGGTTGAGAGGGGAAAGCAGGCTTACTATTGTTTTGATGAAACAGAACTCAAAAAGATTCAAAGTTCATTCCCTCAAAATGCATCATACAACATTCAGAGGTTCAAAGGTAAGATCTAGTCACTGTAGCACAATGTCTATTTATGAACCTTTCCCCTGCACTCCATTCATCCTGTCAACTAACAATGAATTAATGCTTTTTGTTTGTTAATGGAAATAACTAGCTGTTATAGAGCATCTTTGGTCATGAGCATTCTTTTCTTATTGCTAAGTTGGAATTCAGTCATCCATGTGCTATGTAGTGTAATAAAAGGTCATGTTACTGAATCTATTTGGTGTGATATGATAATGCAGTATGACATACTTACCCTCGGGTCACATGCACACATGCATACAGATGAACCAATACATTAATTCTCCCTCTCCTAAAATCTTCAAATCCTTGGAAAGTACATGCTTAAATCTTCAATTCACAGTTGATTTTTGGATATTCTAACTTGTGTGGGTAAAATACAGGCTTGGGGGAAATGATGCCTGCACAGCTATGGGAAACAACCATGGATCCAGAGCAGAGGCTGCTCAAACAATTAGTAGTTGAAGATGCAGCAGAGGCCAATGTCGTCTTTTCATCCCTTATGGGTACCCGGGTAAGCTATATCAAGCTCAGATGTCTGTTCTGGTTACAATAAACTTAAGCCATCTGTCTACTTATGTACTTGCTGGAAGAAGCTATCAAATCTGAGTTGGGACCTTTCAGTTATACCAACAATAAAGGGCAGCTTTAGAAGTAAAAGAAATTAAAAACTACTAGAATATAAAAACAATGATAAGGAAATTGCATTATTTTTCTGGGGAACCTTTGTTTGTTTTCTACTTTTTGCTTATCTTGGGGATGCAAACGAGCAAAGTAAAAAAAAAAAAAAGGAAAATAGATTGACAAGTAGACAATAATAAAACACGAAAGCAGATTTCAGGGAATTGTAACATGGACTAGTTGTCACATTTAATTCCATCTCCTTTTCAAATGTGTATAAGTGCATGTGTGCTTTTTGTGTGTTTATACTCATTGCTTGCTCTGGAAAATTTGCACCCGTAGGGCCATATACCAAAACCAGTTAAACATGATGTTAGAGGCGATGTTTGGAAGACCTTTCCATCTGAATTGCCAATTGTCACACTAATTAGATCATGCAGCTGCTGATATTATTGATTCATGGTGATAATGTTCCCATGTAACTTTTTCTGTTTTAGGTGGATGGGCGCAAGGAACTTATTCAGAATGCAGCAAGCATGATTAACGTTGATCATTTGGACATCTGACAGGTTTTTATGCTGTATACTGCAACACAGATAAACAGCGTGTTGGTAGTTCCGTAGTTAGTCTTGGACTCTTGATATAAGGCTATGCGATTGACATAGGCATCCAATATTCCTGATCTCTATGTTAATCCATGGATTGCTTTTGGGTGTAAAAAAAGGTGGAATAGTTCAGTAGGTGGTTTGGGCATTCTTTTTAAGCTACAAACGTAGGATTTATATTAGCATCAAATTTCTTCTCCATAGATTCACTTTCAGTTTATACTGTCGTTGATATCAGTTTCTGAAAGGATTCATTACAAAAACTTTTGCAGCCTTATGTAGACTGAGACAATGCTGAACTTTTTTCGTTCGATGTAAAGGTCTCAAAAATTGTTCGTCATTCTTTGATAAACTGAGATGAGCAGGCTGATGTCGCAGAGCTCAAAGAGATTCAAACTTCAAACCATCAAAAGATCGGTTTATTTATTCATCCATCGGTTTTAACCCAAATGTCATGTATATTATAACTATGTGAAAAAAATAGCTAAATCAAGGAACCACAGATGCAGCGAAGTCTTTACATCCGATGCTTCTGTTTCCTACAAGGCAAGTTAAAAGAGCCAAAAGAAAAAAAAACCCTTGTGATCAATGATTTCGTATGTGCTACTTTAATTAAGTATTTGATTAACTTAATAATGATACATATAATTTTATGTAATTTGCTATACATACGAAATAAAACAGCCTTGCATACCTCTTCTTTTTTCCCTTTTTTTTTTTCCTACTCGTTTATTCCCGGGATTTATATATATGTATGTATTTTTTGTCTACTCGTTAATTCCCAGGATATATTGAGAAGTGTAACCTTTCGCCACTCTTAACGGAATCTGATAATGCTCAAGATTTTGAGCGTGTAGATTTATTATATTTGGTATTCAATCTTCTCGAGATGTTGAAAATAAAAAAAGATGGCGGTGAACTTTCAGATCATGTGCATGTGGAACACAAAAATCAGTGTTAGTGGCACTGGAGGAGCCTCGACGAGACCACTTCGAAAGTTAAGGCAGTATTTTGACATACTGTATAGATATGGGAGGGAGAACAAGCCTTTTAAAATTGTGTAGTGTTGTTGGTTCTTTAATGAAAGAGAGAGATATCCAATAAAAATATGCTCTCATTAAATGTACATTCTTTCTATCTAATCACATGGGAGAGTGGATTTTGTCCAGATTGCCTATCTCCCGCCATACATTCAAGGTTTTTTTGGTCGTGGAGTCTTTAGTTATAGGGGGCCCTTGTTCATGGTGGTGTTGAGGGTTGGGAGGCAATGAGGCCATGGGAAAGAGAGCCCATAACTATGAAAAGGCCTCATTTTGATGGAGTTTGGAGACACGTGATGCAAGGTGGATTTACATGGGCATATCAATAACCCTGAGTCTTTAGCAAATGTTTTTTTGTTGAAGAATCAAACTACGCTTGAGTACTTGGAGATGCGTGGGGGGCAATTGATGGTTTTTGATTTGTTTTTTTTAGACTTGAAATTGGTGGGTGTACTGCAACCTCGATAACTATATAGACATGTAGAAAGACTAAACATTCATGCGTGAGAAGTTTTTTGGAGTAATCAAAACAGAGCCCCTTGAAGTCTCTTCAATTTTAGCTTGTTTCAACCTATTTGTAGGGCATGTGGCGATACACAGTTGGTTCACGTCAGATGGGAAATGCCCTTTAAGCTTGGGCTTTTGAGTGTCCAGCAAAAGACTTTTCATGCTCTTTCTAGTTTATAAGTAGTTGCTAGCTTTCACACCTCTTTACTTTCTGTTGATTTTGTTTCTATTGCTGCAAACTTTCAAAGAGTTGGTGGGTATTCCTAATGGATTGAAGATTATATGTAGTTTTTCTTAGAGCAAGAGTTTTCTCATAAATTTCCTTTTGACCAAAGGAATCTTTGGCGATTATGGCTATTCTAAATACACATTAAGCCTTCATAGAGAGATTCTTTGGTAATTTTGGTAAAGATTCGATAGGTAAACCTTATTTTCTTCTTCTTCTTTATTTTTGTATTTACTTAAAACTGACGTATTTGAGAAGATTTATAGGGGTATATGGGACTGCTCTTAGGGATAAGGGGTCAATCCCTAATGTAGATGTGGTTTCCGTTTTGAGGAATATGCAAAGACCTATATCCATCCTTACTAATGGAAGTTCTAGTAGAGTTTCGGAACGGATGATTCCTTCTCTTATTATTGAATTTTCAGTTTACTTAGATTAAAGTGGGTTTGTTTGTATGCAAAACCCAAATTATAAACAAAATAGAAATTAGAATTGAAAACAACTTCAATTTAGTAAAAATTCAGTTTAAGAAAAAATCGCACATTTAATTTATAGATCAATCATGAATACCTAAATTGTCATCCTTTCATTGAATCCTTAGTGTTGTTCTTAGCACACAAAAGAAACGTAATTAAATAATAGAAATCGGACAAATAATAAGCAAATTTATTATAAATTAATATGAATTAAAAATTGGAACTTTTTACCTTAATCTTCGGAGAATTCGGGATGAAAATCATGTTATCATGTTTTTTAGTATAAAGATGATCGAACCATCAAATAGTTTTATCATAATTTTTAGGTGATTGTCTCGAGGCACAATCTGGTTGTTTTCTTGAGACGATACGTAATCTCCGTAGAATTTATCCGATGCAACATATGAAAAATATTTTACATGTCTGTCTTAGGGATACAACAAGCTTAACCATCTTATCATCGTGTTTTAATAAATTTGTATTATTTGTAAGACTTGAAACTGTAAATATAATAGTACCACTCTTACCTAAAGACAAAACAAATAAATATTATATGGCTTTATTGTGGAAGATTAAAGAACATAAAAATGAAAATTATTTTTCTTCACTAGAAAATATTGCTATTGTTAGCTCAAAAAAAAAAAAAAACAAAAAAGCATGCTGATCACTTTAGTCACGAGAAATAAGTATACATGCTGCATATTGCCTTTTTTATTTTATTTTATGTGCATGTGTGTGTAATCCATCAAATAAACAACAACCTCTATATATAGGCATTGTGAAACATCTGTTTGAGAAAAAATAATTCCAATAATTATTTCTCAAGCGGTACGTGCAATTAATATTTATAAAAACATTAAGTAGCTTCTTTTATAAAGAATGCAACTGTTTCTTAATAAATTAAAATAATATAACTCTTATAACCAAAGGAATTTTAGTGTAACATATTAAAACATGCATTAAATAATTTATTATAAATAACTAATTATTTTAATTATTTTAATTTAAAATACTCCAACAATCCCCCATTTATTTCTATAAAAAATGTTAGCCATATTTTTGTGTAAAGAATCAAATATAATATATAATAAGTGTGCTAGTGGCTTAAACCATTATTGTTTCAACAACATTGTTTTCAAATCCATAGTAAACATTGTCTTGAAGTAAGATTTTTTAATAAAAACAAATATTATATCACACATACTATTTTCGAGTACTCTACAATGAGTTTCAAAGCTAACATATTTACGGTTTTATGTTTGATTCTTGCTTCTATGAGTATTCTAAAGAATTAGCTTGACTCTCATAAGAAACGACTCCACTTCCTCACTCATGTAAGTATTTCTATCAAGGATGCTCCCATAACTCTAACATTATATTCAAAATAACTATATACCACATTAAAAGTTTCATATAAAGAAACTTAATGTCTCTTTTGTTATGAGATTCCGCACTACACAATATGGATAGACATATGAGTATTGCAACTCAAATAAATTGTGCATGTAATCAAATCTCTATGCTTATTTTTCTCCTTGAACCTAGTCCTTGGGATCTCGAGTCCTTAGGTAGAGTATCCACATAGGTGATTTTATTTTTAATGGGCTTAGTCTCATCCCCTTCAATGCATTATCTAATCCTTTGACTTTAGTTAAAGATTTACTCCCATAATATTCAATATAATTCCAAAGAATTAGAGAACCAGCACTCAATCAATTTATTAGTGCTAAGACATGTGATAAGAATTTTTCATGCTTACTGTTTTTTCCTTTAGACAAAGCATAACATCCATTTGTTTTTTTTTTTTTTCCATTGCATCCACTTGCTTCTTTATTGGCTCGGCTTTTAGCTAATTTAAGTTTCACCACACATATATGAATCAATGGTGATCATGCTTATTTTTTGCATCATCATCATTATGCTAAAACATGATGGCATCGTTGTATTTTCTAATACAATAAAAAATATTTAATATAATCACATTGAAGTGAATAGGGACATTTTTTGCTCTCTACTTTCTCATACAAATTTAACGTCGTTGTATCTCATCAATATAATAGGAATGTTATTATTTAGCTAGAGATTTAAATTTCTCAAAATATCGTCAATTGTCTTATTAGATAGTATCTTTAAAACACCATTGCATCTTAATTATATAATAAGAGTGTCTCTAATTGCACTTATCATATAATATCATCATAACACTATTGTACCTTAATTATATAATAGGATTGTAACTAATTCCATCAATTATCTTAATAGTTTTTTTCAAATATTCCATAAGCATCATTATACCTTTTGTATAATAAGAATGCTTTAATAAATATCTTCACAAGCATCACATTAAAAATTTATATATATATATAAAAAAAAATTCAAACATCACGAGAAAAATTATAATAATTTATCTTGAATTACATAATATTTTTCTCAAACAAAATTTTCAACCAATAGCATCTTTTATGCCGCCACTATTCACATAATAAATGATTTTCTTGCCACCGTTATAGACAAAGTGATGACATGAATTATTCTATTATTTCATCATTAACATTCACAATTTATTTCTCGTGGCCCACCAATCAATAAGATATACTTCTTTAAAATAAGATAATATATTAAAATTTATTTTTTCACATAGAAAATATTACATGATAAGCTCTTTATTAATTCATATACTTCGCCAATTTATCTTACTAATAATCTGCTAAC